ATTTTAATTACCTTACAACCATCGCAGGATGAAAGTCGTGCGATGGTTGTAAGGTGTATGGCCAGCTTTAGAAGAAGTCCCAGCACAATGTCCCTAGAAATGATTCTGCAATATAGTTGCTTGTGCTCTTAGCAGCACAGTATACCTGGCAATGCTAGAATCATCACAAAACTATCCAAATCTACCTGCAATGGATTCTGCTGTGTCTCTACCAGACAACAGGCACCATGTATCTGCTTTTCCTGGGATGTCCTTGTGCTCAGCAGTGCAATGTCCCGAAAATCATGTAATTATTATACAGCATATAAAGTTAGAGATCTTCTGTTATTCTTTTCCATATACAGATCAGCTGTGCAGTGCCCTTGGAAATGCTCATCTATTTATTACACTGCATCCACCTACTCTCCCACATACACAGGTCAGCATTGCTGTGTCCCTGAAAATCTTTATACAGTTATGATAGGTTGTATATAGCTATGTTTCTGCTGTACTCATCCCCCATAGCCACATTGGCAGTGCACTGTCCGTGGAAATTATTATATACTGTATACAACTGTGTACTGGCTGTACTTATCCCCCATACTCAGGTTAGCAGCGTCATGCCCCTAGAAATGATCCAATTATTACATCTATATATCTGTATCTCCCATACACCCAGCAGTAAAGCGTCCCTGTAAATTATCATATGATTATCCAAGCTGTATGCAACTAGCTATCATCTGCTATATAACAGTTACCCTTATGCACAGATCAGCATTGCAACGTCCCAGGAAACTATCATCCAATTATTATACACTGTATACATGTAGTGTTCCCTTCATACCATTCATCAACTAATAGGAATACTTTGAATACATAATATATACTGTAAATAATTTGAATAGTACACAGTCACACAAAGGCTGAACTTGATGGACCTGTGTCTTTATTCAGCCTCAATACTATGTAACTATGAATACATTTGCTATTTATTGACTTTTATGCTATACTTCTGATCTGAAATAATCTAATAACGCACATATCTCCATCCACCAAAGCTACATACTAAGAATGTACACTCTGTAGTAGGCTACCGTTATCCCTGGAAAATGTTCTTTACAGCTCATGCACACCAATATGTCCCAGTTGCTGCACTCTAATTGCTTGTCCCTGTTCACTTAAATTAGGGGCGCCCACAATTTTTCGTTTGGAGATCTACTTTTAAAATGACGAGCTCACTGAGATCTACCAACGAAAAAACAACTGCATTCAAGGGCGATCACCGGCACCCAGAAGCAAGCACTATTTTTGCAGTTCGCACTGGACTGGAACACAGGCACTAATGTACCTGCCTTCTGGGTGCAGGCGATCACACTGTGGGCAGGGGGGCGTGGCTGTGGCGCCATGGACATCAATACAACCCACACCCCCTCCCGCCCCTGAACGTAGGGACATCACCCAGCGCCCCGGCTCCAGGAAGTGTTGGTTTTTTTTTTTTCTTTATTATTTTGTATTTACTGTTGGGGGGGCTTTGGGGAAATATCAGGGGGACGGAGCCCATGGCCGAGCGGTGAGGAGAGAGCCGCCGGCTGTCAGATCCTGGCCGATCGTCTCTCTCTCTCTCTTCACCGCTCGGCCATGCTGCTGTGAGAGCGGCTTCGTCCTCCGCCCCCCAGCCGCTGGCTGCAGTGCTTCCTTCACTTCTCCTCGGATCCCCGCTGCATACAGATGGGGGAGAGCAGCGGGGATCCAGAGGAGAAGCCCCACAGGGCACTTTGCAATCGACTGATAGATCGTGATTGACCTAATGGGCACTCCTGACTTAAATTATACAAGCAAAGTTCAGCTGTAACTAAATAAAACATTTCCACCTTGTGGAATGTAGGAATTGAGAGCCTAATATGATTGTGATTGGATGCCATTACAGAATCTCATGACATAGTGATGAATGTTGTTAACAATGGTTCTCTGTCCAAATTGTCATTTCCTTCCAGGACACTGAAGTGTCACCATAGATACACGCACTATTCTACCACTCATGAGTCAAGATTCAGAAGGCACTCTGTATAAATAGTGGGTAATCATACCTGAGGCTGGATTCACACTGTTCTGGGGGGGGATTCAACACGTGCTTCTACAGCGGCGCCATGTAAGTTCTCTCTCCTCCTCGGTCGCTGCTGCTACAGAGCGGCCGAGAAGAATCCATCCGTCCTCCTCCCCCTGCCACCCCCCTTCACCTACCTCTCTCCTCGCTGCTCCGTCCTCCCCCCGGCCGCCGAGTCTGTCTTCTCACTGGCGCGGATGCAGGGAGCAGAGCGGCAGGGTTAACAGTAACCCTGCTGCTCCGTGATAACCAGTGAGAGGGGAGAGCAGTCTTCCCCTCTCACAGAAGTTCTAGCACAGTGCTGTGCTAGAACTCCTGTATTGGAGGTGACAGGTTCCATAAAGAGAACCTGTCACCTCCAAATGCTATCACACAGGGGCTTGTTAGCCTTTAGGCAATCCCTTAAGACTCATCTCTTCAGGGAAGCTTATCCCACCTCAACCTAACCACTGAACAATCACTTTCTCAAACAATCATCCCCGCACAGCTACCTCCTCATGTATCACTTGCCCCTCCCTTTTAGATTGTAAGCCCTCACGGGCAGGGCCCTCCTTACCATCTTGTCTTGAATTGTATTGTGACTGTAATGTCTTCCTTATATTGTAAAGCGCTGTGCAAACTATTGGCGCTATATAAATCCTGTATAATAATAATAATAATAATAATAATCCTGTGTGATGACGATAGAGTTAAGTGGAAAAAAAATTGTTAAGAAAATAATTAAATAAATAAAATTTAAAAAAGTAAAAAAGAAGAAAAAAATAATAAAATTAAAATACAAAAGGTGATTAAAAAGTACAAAAAATTCACGGCCCACTTGCTAAGATAACCAGTTGATTGGCAGGCTCCTTCCCTACAGGGACATGGGCTCCACTGCATAGAAGGAGGACAGGAGCCTGCCAATCAGCTTGTTACTATTCCCTGGGTCATATTTGGCGGGTGTACAGGGGCAATGAGGGCATGCTGGAACTTGTAGTTCAATTAAGGCATGTCCCAGCATGCTCTCATTGTACCTGTACACCCCCACATATCACGGGGGGAGGGGCGCAAAATGTTGTTGGCCCGCCCTTTGCCGCTATAACAGCTTCAACTCTTCTGGGAAGGCGTCCACAAGGTTTAGGAGTGTGTCTATGGGAATGTTTCACCATTCTTCCAGAAGCGCATTTATGAGGTCAGGTACTGATGTTGGACGAGAAGACATAGCTCGCAGTCTCCACTCTAATTCATCCCAAATGTGTTCTATCGGGTTGAGGTCAGGACTCTGTGCAGGCCAGTCAAGTTCCTCCACCCCAAACTCGCTCATTCATGTCTTTATGGACCGTGCTTTGTGCACTGGAGCGCAGTCATATTGGAACAGGAAGGGGCCATCCCCAAACTGTTCCCACAAAGTTGGGAGCATGAAATTGTCCTAAATGTCTTGGTATGCTGATGCCTTAAGAGTTTCCTTCACTGGAATTAAGGGGCAAAGCCTAACCCCTGAAAAACAACCCCACGCCATAATCCCCCCTCCACCAAACTTTACACTTGGCACAATGCAGTCAGGCAAGCACCGTTCTCCTGGCAAACGCCAAACCCATCCATCGGATTGCCAGTGCAGTCAGACAAGTACCGTTCTCCTGGCAACCGCCAAACCCAGACACGTCCATCGAATTGCCAGACAGAAAAGCGTGATTCGTCACTCCAGAGAACACATCTCCACTTCTCTAGAATCCAGTGGCGGAGTGCATCAGACACTTTGCATTGCACTTGGTGTAGGGGGCGGCGCTGCTGCCTTGCCTAGGGCAGCAGCAAAGTTAAATACGCCGCTGGATGTAAGGCTTGGATACAGCGGCTCAGCCATGGAAATGCATTCCATGAAGCTCTCTATGCACTGTTGTTGTGCCAATCTGAAGGCCACACGAAGTTTGGAGGTCTGTAGCTACTGACTCTGCAGACAGATGCAGATTCTGCGCTTTAGCATGCGCTGACCCCGCTCTGTCATTTTACATGGCCTACCACTTCGTGGCTGAGTTGCTGTTGTTTCCAGTTGCTTCCACTTTGTTGTAATACCACTAACAGTTGACCGTGGAATATTTAGTAGCAAGGAAATATGGAGTTATTGCACAGGTGGCAACCTATCACGTACCACGCTTGAAATCGCTGAGCTCCTGAGAGTGACCCATTCTTTCACAAATGTTTTTAGAAGCAGTCTGCATAGGCGCTTGATTTTATACACCGGTGGCCATGGAGGTGATTAGAACACCTGAATGCAATGATTTAGAGGGGTGTCCCAATACTTTCGGCAATATAGTGAATGTCAGGTTTTTATCGCTAACATTCAACATCCTGCCTGCATTATCACCCACAATCAAGTTACAAAAACAGGCTTTTTTCCGTTCACTCTGTAACCCCGGTAGAGCAGTGCACACACTGGTATTGTCTGCCCCCGGTCACCCAGAACTACATACTGCACACAAGCATAGATATAACAAACACGAGGTCAGCTGCACGAACAAGCAGAGCAGCGTGCCTGACTCCACCCACTAAACACTAATAAGGTCGGCCGCTGCTGCGTTCGGGTTTCTGTCACAGGCAGAGTTTAGCCCAAAGCCCCTCCCCTTATCCCCCCCCGCAGACCAGGGCATGCTGGGAGCTGCAGCTCGTCACACAGACTACCACACGCTCTACATGGAAGTGACATGAGGTAGCGGACGCTCTGCAGGTCGGTCACGCGCTCCAACTCTTCCCCTGGGTGACTCCGCCCATGTTATCCTCCCCTGTCTCCCCGTTGCCCTGCGGTAAAATGGCGGCTCCCGCCTGGGACGTTGCTGTAACGCACGTGCTTTGTGATGGCGCCGACCGCTGACCTCTAAGTGCCGGAAGCTCAGTCGGCTGGAGTGTGCGCAGCAGCGGCCCGGGGGAGGAGAAGCCGCCGGAAGAGGCCGGGCTGTGTCTCCGCAGCTCGGGGAGGGTGTGGGGGGCTTGGCCTGTGTGTGACAAGCAGTGCGCCCCCGCCGCTGTCACTCACTCGTTCTTCCTTCCATCCCGGACTAATCCTCGCTTGTCTCCCCCAACCCCCCTCTGCGACCCCTTCCCTTTCGTGTCATCACCGTCACCCCGGGCCCCGCTTCGTGCTGGAGGATGCTCTTGTTCGTAGAGGTGAGAGAGCGGGGAGGGTGCAGGGAACAGGAGGCCGCCATGTGACTGAGGCCGGCCTGACACAGCAATCCTCACGCCGGCTGTGTGCGCTGCGTGGACGGCCCAGGCCGGGTAATGGGCGAGTTTGGGTAGACGTGCCAGCCTCGTGTTGTGCGGAGCACCGGGCAATGCGGACAGCTTGTTGGCCTGGTGCGGGGGGAGGGGAATGGCTGAAAGACTCCGCAGTGACCTTTTGGCACAGCGGCTGTTTGCGGCGTCAAGGTTACCGCGGGGGGGACACGAGTGTCACGGTAGATAGTCCCACCAGCCATATTGGGACTTCCCGCAGAGGGCCACCATGTGATGAGGCGGAAGATGACCGGCGACCACATGACCTGCAAAGTTAGGCCTCAGCATGACAACAGCCTGCAGGGAGTGAGGCCTATGACCTCTGTCCTCACACCGGGGCTGCCATCGGGTCGTTACTACCAGGGAGAACTACTGAGCAGCTGCTCAGTGCATGTGTGGGGGAGGGAGGGGGGAATCTATACTGGCAGGTGGTGGTAGGATCACCATACACCTTACAATCTGACAGTACAATCAGATATAATTAACCAATATTATGTAATGTGAGGCTATATCGGATCCTATCCAGAGGGTACACGTGCTATAGTTTTAGATCAGAGAGATTGTACAATCAGATTGTCAGGTGTGTAAACGTAAGGAGTGGGGGGCTCTGCTGCCAGATTGTGGTGTAAGCGGCAGGAGTAGGGGGCTCTGCTGCCAGATTCTGGTGTAAGCGGTAGGAGTAGGGGGCTCTGCGGTGCAGCAGGACAGGGGAACAGATCCAAGAGTTTAATTACACATGAGGACTGTGGGAGCTGACTTTTGTCTTTTCCCCTCAAGGTGCAATTACTGAGGCTCTCATTCTGATCCTCTTCACTTCCTGGTTAGTCACTGATCCTAAAACCCAACTCTGACAATTACACAAAATCTATGCACTGCAAGGGTTGTTAGCCCCCCCCCCGTTGTGGTAAAACTGCAAATCCCATCATGCATCTGATTCTGGGAGGCACTCCTGTGGCTTTCAGTCATGCAGTGCCTCATGGGATTTGTAGTTGCACAACAGCAGGAGGGCTGCAGTTTGCCTACTTCTAGTGTAGAGGAATGATCTATAACACTTGCCTCATTTCTGGCAGGCTCCCACATTCTGTGTGCCCCCTTTGTCCCCCGGCCAGCAGTCATACACAGATGTTGCCATGTACAATGCAGGCCCAATAGCCCTGCACTGTATGTGACGGTTGGGAATTGAATGGAGGTTTGATGACAGAACAGAAGAAATCGAACAATAATTGGAAGGTGTATGGCCAGCTTTAAAAACTGCTCTGTGACTCCTCTTTGGAAGGATGGTCATGTTTATGTATAAAACTGTTAGACAACTTGTAGGGTGATGAAATCACATGTAGACTTTAATGGCTGTCAGCCTGGACCCTACAAACATGTGACAGCAGTGTGTGCTTGTAGAGTTGTCGTGTATGTCTTTCAGGTTGGAGTTCTGAATGCTGTCAGTGACCTCTCTGTATTGTGTAATTTGCCTTTTCCTGTATGTGTGGATGATGGTTTGGCAGTGCTTCCCCCATGTGATAAGTAACATGACAGTCCGTGGTGTGTATTACAGAACTTCCTGCTGCTTCTGTGTCAGATGGAGATCATTGCTGATGGAAGGTTGACTGTCACTATATTGTAGGTGTATGTTCCGATCGGTACTAGCAATGTGACATTATGACGTTAGTGGGTTTTATGCGCCATATGAACATTTCTGCGAACACTGTTTTGATGCGTTCCACTGCGTGTTTTAGTCTTAATGAGAGTTCAGGTACGTTTGCATGCATTGTGTGTTCCAGATCAGAAAAATGTATATTGCAGTACTTTTTTTGAATGCACTGGAACTGAACGAAGTGGTGTGAACTCGGCTCAAATGTCATAGGAATACACGGACAGGGCTCACTTTCCACTCGCCCCCTCGCAATTTTTTATGTGTCCCCAGTTATGAATGAACAGGCTGTGATTCACGAATTTCTCAATGGGGAGAAACGCTCAGTACAGAGGCTCCTCCCCATTCAGAAACTATTGATAGTAAATATTTTACTATCAGTGTATGAATGAATGGGAAGCCTCTGTACTGAGTGCTTCCCATTCACCTAGTGCTGAGGCTGCTGAAAAAGAAATTAAGGATTTGGTGTCCTCAATTTATTTTCTATTTTAAAAGGGAAATGTCAGGGGTCTGTTTGGACCCCTAATATTTCCCCGAAGCCCCCCAACAGTAAAAAAATAAATAAATCATAAAATGTAAAAAATTATTTTAAAAAAGTGAAAACTGCTCCCCCCACACGCATATTAGACATGTGCGAAGACTGAAAATTAATTTCAGATGAAATGTGTGTTGTGCTGTGCGCGTTGTGCCCTGTGTGTGTTTGTTTGTGTTATGCAGGGCAACTGGTGGCGAGTAACTTTGAAGGCCTGGCTAGTAGCTCCGGACCTGAAATTTTGAGCCCTGCACGGGGATGTGTTTTTGGACCAGACAAAAAACCATTCTAGTGTAGATCTGGTCCAGACATGGTTTGAAAGGGCCCTTTTATATTCAATAAATAGATTTAATTCAGCTAGTACCTTTCATTACTTACCCATACTTTTTTTTTTTTTTTTAGGTATTTTACTTTTTCATTCTCTGTAAATGGGCATTGGAGACTTATTTTTAAGAAAGCCTAAAGCTCGTTACACACCTTACAATCTGATTGTACAATCTCCTTTAGGCCTGCCAGCAACTATATAGTGCAAGAACCGGTCGATGAATCGATTAGATAGTTCCTCATAGTACGTGGTTTAGGTAAATCTAAAGTGGATTGTACAGTCAGATTGTAATATGTATGGTGATCCTCCCATGCATACACACTGATGGAGAACCATTTACAGTGTACTGCAGTGAGTCTCCAGTTATTACTTTTTGCAGGTTTTTTTGTAGTGACGAGTATCATGCCTCTGTTGCTGCCCACACTTTGACCATTGCTCTGATGGGGAGGAATTGTCCAACCTAATCTGTTCAGGAGTCCATGCCACCTGCCCCGGTGTTAATTGACTCCTCCTGCTGACCCCCACACATCACACAGTTAGACCCCGTTCACATTGAGCGATTTATCGCGCGGTAATTCCCGCGATATCGCGGCAAATTACCGCGCGATATCGCGCTCCAATGCAATCCAATGGGGCAAAGGGTCCTGCTGTCGCGGGTCGTGTGTCGCTACAGCAGGACCCTTTTTGGAGCGGATTTAGCCGCGATTCAAGCTTGCTCAATGCAAGCTTGAACGCGACACCGCGCGGCAAATCTCGCGATGTCGCGCAAATATGCAAATTGCGCGACAAACGCGCGATTTGCATATCGCGCAGTGGGAACGGGGCCTAATGACATGGGGTTAGCGGGAGGAACAACTGAGTGCTGTGGGGGACACAGGCAATCAAAGCTTCTGACATGTCATTTTCTGAATACACTTTGTGGGAGAATTTCTCCTCATCAGAGCAGCGTTCTTTGGTGTGGGCAGGAGGAGAGGTATTTCCTCTTTGTTTTCTAGTTATCTCTGGCCCTTTAGTTCAATCATTATATAGGGATATATTGTCTCCTGTTTCTACCACATTACTTGCAAGGGATGTTTTATGTTGTAATAAAATTTTGATTTTACAGCGGAATTGTCATGTCTGTATGGTTTGAGAGAAATAGTTGTGTATTACAGTGAACCTGTCGCTTTGCCCTGCATTGGCACAGTTGAAGTTCACTGTAAGCTGGCACCATACTTTGAGTTCTGGATGTACAGCCCTTCTTTAGAGTAATCAACAACTCCGGAGAGTAAAAACTTTCCTAAATGATGCATTTCATGTATATCCAGCCAAGTACTTTCACTTTACTTGGTTGTTCATAAATCTACAGGAGCTTGTGCAGTCACATCACTATGATGGGCAGCATTACTGGCTGATAGTAATGTGCAGCAGGAGGCATGGGGAGGTGGGCAAACTTCCGTACTACCCAGAAGTGCCCTACCTTTCCTGTCAGTGACCCAGAATGTCATCATTTTGGGAATCTGCTTTGCAGGCACTTAATACCTATGCATGTGGAATTCCTATCGCCCGGGACAGGCAGTTTAGAGCGCCGGGCGAGTAGTTTTTTGTACATTTAGCCCTGCTTCGGACAAGCAGAGCTAAATGTACAGCATGGAGCCGCCGCTCGTTTCTATACAAGTGACCTGATTAGATCACTTGCATCAATCGAGCAGCGGCGATCTTGTCCTTCCCTCTCATGGTTTTCGGGGGACCCGGGACAATGGCACATGAGCTCACCATAGTGTAGAGCAGAGAAGAAAGAACATCCGTTCTTTGCTCTGTGTGATTGGTGAGAATGTGGCGCTGTCTCAGCTGTCAGGAACTGCAAAGAACACCTGTTCTGTGTTGGAGTGCAGGTTCCATAAAGAGAACCTGTCACCTCCAAATGATCATATAGGACAAGGGGTCAGCAACCCGTGGCTCCGTGGCCGCATATGGCTTTCATCCCTCTGCTGCGGCTCCCTGTCCAGGGGTTGGAACTACCGCCAGAGCCACGGTACGGGTGTAACTGCACACTGTGTACTGTGGATTATAATGGGGAACATTACACTAATGTTGCCTATTATCCATTTATCTGATTAAATGATTAGACAGGGCCGCTGTTCTGTCAAAGTTTACTAGGTTGGAATGCGTTACAGTTTTTTGGGCGGGATTTTGATCTGCCTTGGAACAGCTGAGAATGCATTGGAATGCTTGACCTCCACCGCCAAAAAACTGCGGGTTAGCTAGGTGATATTCTGCATTGCGCTGTATATTGTACTATTGCTGGGTTTTGTAGTCCTCTATAGCCTGTGCCATTCTGCATTTATTGCTGTATAATTTTTCACTTTTCATTTCACTATATTGCACACCACACTTTTTTTTTTCTTTTT